TCATCGGCAGCCCTTGCTGCTGCCTCGTCATGCTGGCGCTGTTGTTCAAGTGCTAGCAGACGTGCCTGCTCGGCATCCTTTGCCTTCTTCTTCGCTGCTGCTGCTGCGTCATCCGCCCGTTTCTTTGTTTCGGTACTCCAAGCCAGCATCCGGGCCTGATATGCCTCGTCTGCTTCTGTGGACCTCTGGTCCATGACGGATGTTTATGACCGCAACAACATATACCAGGCCGGGGGCATGCTGACGTGGTATTTCCTGCTCTGTCGGCTGACGTGGCTTGCTGACGTGTCCTGCTGACGTGGCCTGCAGACGTGGTCTGTTGGCGTGTCCTGCTGACGTAGTCTGCTGACGTGGCTTGCTGACGTGGCAACTCACCAATGTCGCTGCAGGGGGTACCCGGAGATAGGTAGAGAAGGTAGTGGCCTGCTGACGTGGCAACTCACCAATGTTGTTGCAGGGGGTACCCGGAGATAGGTAGAGAAGGTAAGGCCAGAGGGTGCAACAACATAGATGGGGAGGCTGGGTCGGAAGAATCGCCCAGATAAGGAGCCACTAATACAAAAAAAAGAAAAGTTCGAACTTTGCAAAAAAAATAATATTTGGGGAGGCTGGGTGGTAAAAAAAAATTCCGAAAAGAAATAAAGTATTCAGACTTACTCGGATGAGAGTATTCGCAGTTTGGAAAATAATACCTGCAGGAGGGATTTCCCGTACTGTTTCCATAAAAACGAAATTCGAAAAAAAAAAAATATTTCGAATTTCTAAGTAACGGGAAATGCAACAGGAAATTGAAATTTTCGAAAAGAATAATATTCCGGATTTTCCACAACGAAATTTTGAATTTCCAGAGGAAAAAACGAAAATGGGAATTTCAGATGTTGCGCTATTACGATTTTCCACAACAGAATAGCGAGAAAACAAAATCCAAGAAAAGAAAAAAAAAAAAAAATTGATTTTCGATAGTAAGGTCAAAATCGTGATTTTGGGGTCTAACTAGTGTGCTCTAATCAATCAATAAAGACTAATCAGCTATCTAGTCCCCGCACACATGTCAGATCAGGTTTTCCTGATTCACGTGCGGCGTTCCGATACCAATTGTTACATGCCCTGTTGGGCGAAGTACATAGAAACCGAGGATCTGCAATGTGATGAAAAGGACTGAATGGACAATGCAGTGCAAGTAAAATCTCGACAAGCAATGTGCATTCTAATACATACAAAATGGTGCTGAATAGCGCAGGGAAGACTTAGATACAAATTCTTACCTGATCGGGACTGACCTCATTCACTTAGTATCAGATAGCGAAGCAGAATGCTAGAATGCTAATGACTAGCCCAATCAATGTTTGAACGCAGACCAAACATACATCGTATCCATCACCAGGTGTGAAGGAGCCTGGCGCTGTACACAGGAAGAAAGCGCCAGGTCCAGACATACACAGACAAAGCGGAGGGAATCAGACGAAGAGGAGAGGGAGAGATGGGAATGTCGTCAACACCAAGTCTTTGTCACAAGTCCCAGATAATCCCTTGTTGCAATGTCTAGCGTCCAAAAGTGGAGTCTGGATCCAATGTCACCAAGCTCTTTCTCTCTTCTCTCGTAGTCTGCAAATGCAGTGAAGTCAGATGATGAGAGGGTGAGAGGGAGATGGTGGACTGAGAAGAGGAAGAAGAAGAACTCTCTCTCTCTCTGTTACGAGCCAGGAACTAACCTGTGATGTTGGCGCTGTGTTGTAGGTACCTCGAAGACGAAGCTGGAGCAACGGCGCTGCAGGTAAGTACCTCTGGCCTCCGCCCAATCTCTCTCTCTCTAGTGCTATCCTAGCTATGGCGCCCAGCGCTGGAGACTACAGCTACCTACTGCACCAGTGTTGAAGACTCAAGGCTCACGCTACTACTACTCCTGCAACACTCCCTCCTGAGTGCTGCGACCGAATCCTGAAGACTACTACTGCCCCCTGCCTGCCCGTGAAGTGTATGAGAAGTCCCTATGTACTACCTCGGCCTGCCTCCTGACTGCCTGAAGGGCGAGCCAGGCCGAGGAGGCTGCTCTTGCCAATGCCGAAGTGTGCTAGGGGCTGGCTGCAGCAGCTGGTGAGGCTGGCGTGGGGAACAGGCTAAGAATAGCCTGTTCTCGAAACCTTGGTTCGGTGCCTGAGTTTCAGGGCCGGTCGTTCTGATGAACGACCAAAAATGGCCCTTCGTTTCAGGCTAAAAAGGTTATTGCCATTTTTAGTCTGAAGCGACACAGGGACTGTAGGCCCCTGTTTTCAGGCTTTCGGGCTAAACAGTTACGGGGCCTGTAGGCCCTGGTTTTCAGGCTTTTAGCCTGAATTTCGGGCTTTCAGCCTGTGGGACGCAGGGCCTGGAAAATGGCCCTCGTGTGCAGGCGCAGCATGTAACACCCCCCCCTACTTATGAAGTCAAGCCGGGGCGAGGGCGGAGCCGACGATCTGAAGGTGGAACCTGGACGCGGGCGTGGCGTGGAACCGAAGAAACCGGCTTGCCTTGTATCTCACGTTCGTAGCGTGCGAGAACGTCTGGAGCTGTTGCTTGAAGTTCCGCACGGGTCAACCAACAATCAGCTCGGTGTGTGCAGTATGCAAAATGCACTAAGTACTCGGTTGGCCTGTTGTCGTAGCATCGTTGGGAGATGATGTCGCCGACCTCCTGAAAGCCATCCATGGAGGGTGGGTCTTGCGAACGTCTCCCGGGAAAATCGTCATGTTCCGCTGGCGTGTAAAGAGCCAACTTGGAGCAATGAAAGACTGGGTAGACGGACAAGTGGGCGGGCACCTGAATCGTGAAGGAAGGTCCCTCAGGTGCGTACCCAGCGGGTGCCACGATCGGCCAAGGCCCCATCCATTTCGGGAGGAGCTTGCGAGAGATGTCTTGTTCAAGGCTGAATTCCACTGCGGACACACATACGAGGTCGCCGACGCAGAATGGGCAAGGAAGACGCTGGCGATTTGCATGCTGGCTCATGCGCTGCTGCGTCTTAGCCATCCGGTCGCATGCCTTGACAAGAAGCTCTTGCATCCGACGCAAGAAAAGAAGATGGTCGTCGCTCTCGGTCGTCCGTGGAGTAATAGTGTCCAACGGTGAAGTGACCAGCGAGCTGTGCTCGAACTCGAAAGGCGATATCTCGATAGCTGGGTGGATGGAAGAGTTGTAGGCCAACTCGACATCCGGTAGCCGCTCAACCCAGTCCTTCTGGTCAGGACAAATGAGAGTGCGAAGGAGAACCTGTGCGGTCTGGTGCGCCCTCTCCATTTGGCCATCGGTCTGAGGGTGGCGAGTTGAACTGGGCTTGAGAGATGAGCCCCATCGCTTGATGAGTGCCAACCAAAAATCGGACATGAACCGGGTGTCGCGGTCACAGACGATCTCCTTGGGGTAACCCTTGGTTTGAATCCAACCGGCGTAGAGAAGCTCGGCCAACTCCGGTGCCTTGGCATGATAGCGACAAGGCAAAAACATGGCGAACTTGGTGAGTCGGTCGACCACMGTGAGAAYCTCATCCACTCCGGTCTTGTGCTTGGGGAACGGGGCGGWAATGTCCATGGCAATCGCTTCCCTTCGCCTCAACGGGASCGSTAATGGTCGTAACYCGYCGTACGGACGATGGTTGYGGGAKTTGCAGCGTCGACAAACCTCGCATGACTCGCAATAGCGCGTGACGTCGCCGAGAAGGCCGGGCCACCAAAATCGCTCGCGAAGTCGGCCAATCGTGCGATTGACTCCAAAGTGTCCGGTGGAGGGGGCATCATGGAACTCGCCAAGAAGCCGTGTACGCAAGTGAGGATCACTGGGTACGCAAAGGAGGTCCTTCCCCCGCGTGTGGACAAGCAAGTACCCCTCTTGGATCCGGTAGTGAGAAGGCGCCGGATTAGGAGAGGAGCAATTTGCGTACTTGTCACGAAACTCGGGGTCGGCTTGGTAGCCGCGGATGAAGCTGTTCCGCAGGTCATTGTCGATCTCGAAGGTTGAGTAGAGCGCGGTACAGTGATCCGGACGCCGTGAAAGAGCATCCGCAAAACAGTTCGACTTCCCGGGAATGTGATCGGGAAAGAAGTCGAATTGGTCGATGAAAGCCATCCACCGAGCGACGGTGCTATTGACGGGATTGTTGTCCGTTACCCATCGAAATTGGCTTCAACCAAGGAGGAAGTGCCGCGACCGCTTGAGCGCGTGGACGAAGGCGAGGAGTTCCTTTTTGCATGTATCGTCAGTGGAATGCACGAAGGGCACTTTCTTGCTGAATTACTCGACCGGACGCCAGTCCACCCCATCATGTTGCTTGAGGACTGCAACAATGCCATAGCCTGACGCATCCGTCGTGACGCGCGTAGGCAAAAGCGGGTCGTATATCCGCAAGACCTCCGCAGACAATAGCGCGGCTTTGAGAGCCAAAAATGATTCCCGCGCCTCCTCCTGGAAGTCGAACGACCGATCCTCGCATTGAAGCTTGGTCAAGTGGGCCGCGATCTTCGAGTAACCTTTCATGGAACGCTGATAGTAGTCGGCGAGACCAAGGAACGAGCGGACATCCGTGACGTTCCGAGGCTCCGGCCACTCTTGGATGGCTTGAATCTTGTCCGATAGCGGACTGATGCCCTCCGGTGTGACAAAATGGCCCAAGTATTCCAGCTCTTGCCGGACAAATTCGCACTTGTCACGGTTGGCCTTGTACTTGGCGCGGCGGAGCGTCTCCAACACTCGTTGAAGATGCCCAAGATGATCCTCCAATGACTGGCTATAGACGAGAATATCGTCTAAGTAGACCAGCACGAACCGGTCCAACATTGCACGAAACTCATTGGTCATTGCCGCTTGARAKGTCGTCGGGGCGTTGGTGAGGCCAAAAGGCATGAYCACCCACTCAAAATGYCCGTACCGCGTCTTGAACGCGGACTTGTAGCGATAGTTCGGACGGATTCAGATTTGATGATATCCCGATTGCAAATCCAACTTAGAAAAATACTTTGCACCGCCCAGTCGCTCAAGAAGATCGTCGATGCGAGGGAGAGGCCCCGCATTCTTGACGGTTTGCGCGTTGAGCTTGTGGTAGTCGATACACAATCGTAGATCCTTGTTCTTCTTCCGGGCGAAGAGAACCGGTGCTCCATATGGGGAGCTGCTAGGGCGGATCCAGCCCTTGGCCAACAAATCGTCGAGTTGTGCGCGGAGGACCTCAAGCTCCTCCTCGCTCATCCGATAGATGCAACCTTTCGGCGGCACGGCACCGGCCTCAAGAATGATCTTGTGAGAGATCGGCCGGTCCTGCACCACACCGGTAGGTGACTCGAAGATGTCGGCGAACTCGTCCAGCAATCGCACCACCCGTGGGTCCGAAGACAAGTCCGTGGGTGAAGGCCACCGCGACGGTCCGTAGGAAACATAGGCCTATCTCCTCGGGCTGCTCGTAAGCGCAAGTTGCCCGGAATGATTTGGCCGTCACCACTTGGCACCAAATCGAAGGGTGCGGTAGAGGCATAGTACATGCCACTTCCGCGCCGAAGGCGTCGCGAACGCTAAGAGTCCGCCGGTGGAAGTTAACCATGTGATCCACACTTGCAAGCCAAGGCATTGCCAGAATGATGTCGAAGTCCGTTTCGAGAATATCGAATGTCAACGGTTCGCATGCATGAGGTGCGAAATAGACCGGTACGGCCTCGATGTAACGGTCGAGAAGTTGCTGCGTCTTGCCATCCGCCAACTTGATCGCCGTCGGGTTTGCCTTCCTCCGAACTTGTGCGCCAAGGCCAGCCCTTTGCATAAAGGATTGGCTCATGAAATTGCGAGACGCGCCGCTATCCAGCAAAGCGCTGCAGGGCGCTTGCCCAACTTGAATGCGGACATACATGAGCGGTGCGTTGTTGTCATCGTACCGCTGCGTGCGAAACTCGCGGGCCACCTTGGTAGTATACGCAAGGATGTCCCCCACCGCGACTTCGTCATCTGTCGGCGAAGTTGGTGGTGCATAGAAGGATAAGTAAGTGTGGAGATGAGCGCATAGTGCTGCGCATTGCGGTCCCGGCAAGCGGCGAGGAAGCCATGCAAAGTCCTTGAACGTGAGCGGGTCCAATACCTCTATGTTGAGCTCACGCGTCGATTTCCGTGAAGAACCACTTGAAGACGATATGTCACCGCTGCGGGACGGAGAAGAAACCGCACAAACTTTTTGTCCTTGAGCTTGAGTACCCAGCGTAGGAACGAGCCGGGCAGCATAGTCCTCAAAACAAAGTAGAAGAGGACGACTATCGACTTCCGCGTGCGCCTCGGAATTGCGAAGAAACCTGTTCCGGAGGAGTCGAGAGTGTTGTCGAGTCACTCTCGGCGGTGCTTAGTTTCCCTGTTTGCCCTTGCCTTTCAATGGTCAGGCCAGTGTCTGATGAAGATCATTGTTGCACCATAGGCAATAGTGGAATCTCGTGTGCACCTTGAATGCTTGCTCGAAGATGCCATATTGGGACCAAGGGGCTGGAGCTGCTGCGCCGGGCCCGAGGCTAGATGCGGTGTGTGTCTTCGTCTTGCCGCATCCTCGACCTCTGCCGGGGCGGCCACCTTCCCGGGCGTCTGCGAGTCTGTCCCCTCCACTGGCAGACACAGCCTCGCTGGTTTGGTTAAACGGCGTTGCCGCCGCGACCACGGCCACTCTTGGCCGATGCTGGTCCCTGCTCGAGCCTGCCGCAGACAAACGCAGGTTCTTAGCTTCCTTGTTCGTGATGATAATCTGCGCGGCCTTATCAAAAAGTTTCGCCGTTGTCGTCAAGGTGTCCTCGACGTGAGTCAGGGCATTGCTTAATGTCGGACATGACCTTGAGATGAAGTAGTGAAGGATGGCTTTGAAGCCCATCTGGATGTCTGGGACTGACGTCAAGCGTTGGTACTCCGCAATCCAGTTGGTACTCGGCAGCGTGCCTTGCTTGAAGACCATGAGTTTGTCCATAGCCTTGATCTCTAGCCGCTCGACTTGGAACCGCTTGTGCCACGCCGCCTTCAGATCATCCCAACTGATCTTGGTGTGCAAGTCGTTAGCTACCACTTCGTACTTGGACAAGAGGTTGTCCAACCAAGCCTGGCACGCGCCCCTTGAGCGAGAGTACAAGTATGCGTGGTGCTTGTGTTCTTTGACGTTGTGTAGCTGCAGCGTGAGCTCGAACTTGCGGAACCATGGAACCGGATCTGTCTTCGTCGAGTCGCAGAAGATCTCCTGCCCGTCAAACTTTGGAGTTGTCTCGCGCTGT